CCTTGTTTACTTGATCCTGATTCACCTTGGGTAATCATATCTGGATCAGGCATACTTATACCCAGATCAGGCACCTATAAATAGGTCTTCACAGATTGATCCAGTCACCTCAGAATCAGTTGATCTGAGTCCACCAGACCTTCTCAGATCTGGATCCACCGTAGTCACTTCCGATCCCGGCATACCTGTCACTTCACTTGATCCAATCACTTCCTGTCCGTAATTTCTCGGAATCCACTTCACCACAAAAGTCATTTGGGAGTTGAGACAGCACATCCACACAGAGCCAAGACTCTGTCAGCATGTACTGCCCCAGAAGGGATTGGGACTTCCGCTTCACTTCATTCCGGGCATTTTCCTATTAGCCAAAAATGTGCGCACGTCGGGCCACTGAGATTTAGTTAATTTTGACCAAGCACGGGTCAGATCAATGATCCTGGCTGTTACCTTTTGTCCGTAGTCCCTTTCCGGTGTATTCACCATCTCACGTGGCTCCATTCGTGAGACCGAGGCAGGCAGCGTCGACAGAAAAAAATCTGGGATGTACCTGATTTAACAGGTTTTGCATGTCGACTTTGACCCTTTCCCAGCCCATCACAACCCACTGCATGGCCACCATCTCCTTTTCAGACAGTTGACCATTATCAGGAGCGGGTAGGGGGTTGCTCTGGACTTCCCTGCAGGAAGTCCGACATGAGCACACGCACTGTAGGTAGCCCCTTTTCTAGCCGCTTGCACTTGTAGAGTTGATCTTGCGTGTTGATGTAGGCCATCAGTTTGTCTTTCCATATCATGTAGCTTTTGCCCTTAAATGAGTCTAGGCCACAGACGTTCTTGCCCTTCGATGCCATGCTGTTGTACGTGTTGTGTTGAGTGATGCCGTCAGTTTTGGAAGTAAGTGCATATGATAATCGCTTGCATCCTTCACATCCCTCGGCTTAGTTTCCCAGCAAGTGCTGGCTTCTTTCCTATGAATGGCCTTGAAGTGCCATCCCTTTTATCCTATCCAACTTCGTAAATCAAGGCTAATTATCCTATCACTACTTCCTGAAATGGCGTACTTAGATGTAATCAATTTGGCGCAATAATACCATCCAGTGACCTTCACCAGTCGCTCACTGAAAGCAAACGAACTCAACTATGGAGTGGTGGATAAAGAGGTATTGGCTCTTCTGCGTATCTTGGACGTCTGTTACTTACAACTGGTAACCAGATCAATTAAGGTGTTACGCGATTCTCATCCGTAGCCTGGCTGCTCGAGTCGAACGGGTTTGACGGTCGATTGGGTAGTTGGGCAGCACTGCTGTCCGGATGGACGTTGGAGGCCGCCAAATGTGTAAAAGGCGAAGAAGAAACCCTGGGAACAATCGCAGTTAGCATCACTCCCAGAGCAGATGTGGATGAAGCCCTAGTTGCGATAGCACCCAAGAAACAGCCACTCAAAATGATCACCATGCCTCCGCCGACGATCAACCAAGATGAGAGTTTCCTGGTGGTGAGTTTCGTTGGAGCTGCGCGAGTAAAACGCAGTGGCGGTGCATATAGCGCCGTCGTCTGGAAACTCCCAGTGGGCGGTTGTAGAGACAATGTCTGAGTACATGCCGGACTTGACGGTGAACGAGGCGGAGTACCACGGACTGATACTTGCTTCGATTTGCTCTCGACTATAGACAGGCGGCGCGTCGTAATCTGCGGCGACGCGAACCTGGTGATTCGCCAGATGCAAGGTAAGATAGACTGCTACGCACCAGACCTACAGCTGCTCCGGCAGAATCGTTGCGATCATGGCTGAAGCACGAGTTCCTTCACGTGAAGCGCGTATGGAATCCGAGTGCAGACAAGTTAGCAAGTGCTGCGCTACAGCGGGAAGAAAGCGAAATAATCACCCTCAACCGACTGGACGAGATGCTAAAACCGAAGCTGATCGACTCAATCGTCAGCGTAAACGCAATCACCCGATCCGCCGAGAGACGACGACACGCACCGGAAGTGATGGAAGAATCTATCATACAACGCATACGGTGTCAGCGGATCAGGCAGGCTCAAGATGAAGAAAAACTGATTGTAGACTTGAAGAAGTACCTAGACGGGGAGGTTAATACCTTGACAGCAGACGAAACGAAGACATGTTCGAAGATTGGGGCGAATGATAATGCAGACGAAAATGGATTACTCTTCTTTTGCCCCAAAACGCTACAACGAAACGAAGGCCGTGATGGCGTCGTCAGGATGGTAGTACCCGATAGTAAGTAGACGAAAATGGGCTGCTCTTCTTTTGCCCCAAAACGCTGCAACGAGACGAAGACCACGATGTCGTCGTCAGGATGGTAGTACCCGATAGCTTGCAACGAGATTTCCTTCATCATTATCATACCAGTCTGGAAGGAGGCAATCAAGGTGTCGGAAGGACGTACAGGAGGATCCAAGCGAACTTTCACTGGCGCGGATTGTCCGAAGTGTACAACGTTGCGTGGGGGCACCGATTGTGAAGTCGGGAAGGGAAAGCCAATAGGTCAGGGGGAGTCACCAGGGAATATACATGGTACGTATCCTTTTCAGGTGATATCCATGGACCACATTCCATCCGTATCAAAGTCATTCAAGAAAAGCATCGAACCGCTGATCTGGTCCGGCATGTTCACGAGCTATGCAATCGAAAAAGCGGGACAGTCGAGAAAAGCACTGGCAGTGGCCGAGAATTACGAGGAATGTGTATTCCGTCCTTTCGGCGAAATCATCGGGCATGATCGAGAGCCGGGCTTTATGTCAGACTTTTCCTGTGTCTTCACCGTATCGTGAAGATGAGGCAGAGCGTAACAATGGTTTATCGTGCACAGGGGAACGGCAAGGCCGAGCGGACGATACAAACCCTGACATGAGCTCTGAAGATGTACGTTGCAGATGTCAATCAGCAAGAATGGGACGATTATGGGGAGGGGCTGACGTTTGCGTTAAACACGACACATAATCGAGTGAGGGCAGAGACATCGTTCTTTCTTGCTCATGAATGAGATACGCGATCAACGCTCGAAGCGGCCATCTCGGTACGGTCGACACGTCGCTGCGATTGCGATGCGCGAAGGTGGAGGTACCACATACAGGGACAGTATCGCAGAGCCAGGGAAGCAGTCAACGAGAGTCTGCACGTCGCGATCAAGTCAAGAGCGGACCGACATAACGAGAAAGTTAGACCACACTGGATTGAAGAGGACACACAAGTATGGCTTTACTAGATCGCATAAAGGAAGGTTACGCACGCAAAATCATTGCACGACTGTTCGAGACATGTACACGATGTTAGTTTGATCGGACCAAGTACACGACCTCAGTAGTTCTTGAACGACACAGATAGAGTAGTCCACGCAC